GAGAGAGAGAGAGAGAGTCTGGTTTTTTTTTTCAATTATAGTCACTTTAACGCTCTTGGGTCATTCGTGACTTGTCCGGGGGTGAGATTTGAAGTCGTGACTTTGGCGTGAGAGGTATGAATGCTAACCACTACGCCGGGGTCGCCCCCAGAGAGTCTGGTTAGATGAACACATTCTCAGCATTTGTCTGTTCTCCCGCTGCGATGAGTCGGAATATTTTTGTTATTGCCTCTGTCCTATTCGTACAGAGAGCCTGGTAGGAAAATAAACATTGTGAGTTGTATCTCTCAAATACTGGTACTGAGTGTTCATTGATGCGAATATTTGCAACATTGGTTAGGATGCATGCACTCGACTCCTACGATGAGTCTCGAAGTGTTGGCGGGCATGCTACCCATCTCGGATCGATTTTCGGAAGTGTATCTCAGACTTAGACTCCTCGCCCGGTGTGAAATTATGAACCAACTGGTGATTGCAAACTTTGAGAAGCTTTTTGAGCTAAACCCACCAGCTCGTTTTACGTGATTGTACTACGTGTACATAAAACAGCCCTTCACAACATAATTCTCATCGTGTATGCTTCTCCGGCTTCGACAATTCAGTTAATTTTGATTTATCTATGACGCAAGAGATTCTCGGAATCTCAGAGCATCATCGTTTCATGATTGCTCCGTCAATTTTCGCTGCAAAGTTTGGTCAAGTTGATTTCGCTAGATCGTTCTTCACAAATGGATTACTAATAGAGCCGTCCGCTGGTTTTGGTATTTACATCGAATTTCATAGCGCCTCTCGAATGCTTCAAGCTCCTTGTTCCGTACATGTTGCTGAGCTGGCGGCAATAGATTATACGCCAGGAACTATCGCCTCACTTTCTCCAGATCACTACTTTATTTTTACGGATAGTCTCAGTTCTGTTGAGGCTATTCGCTCTGAGGCCGGTAAAGCACTCGGTAATGTCTCCTTTGGTTTGTTTTTTCCGTCGATCTTGTTTTCCGTGCTGAGTACCAATGCTACCGACGTGCCAGGAAGGCAGCTCCCACACCTGGACCCTACCTAACGACTCATCAACTCATGAACCGGGGACCAACTGCTTTACTTCCCATCCGAAGGAAGGCGTGATTAGAGATGTTATGCCTCAGAACATCCCGGCGGCGCCGACTGGGATTGAACGCAGGCCTGTTGGGGTGAGAGGTAATCACGCTTACCACTACACCTCGGTGATGTCTCGCCTCATGTCCAATCACTCTTCGCTAAGCGCTCACTTGTTCTGTGTTGGCCTGGGGGACAGCAATCTCTTTGAATGTGAACAAGGTTACCAGGAAGCAGATCACATTATTTGGTCATGTGCTGAGCATCGTGGAGTCAGATCTGAGCTATACGATTCCCTTCGGGCTCGAGGTAAACAACCTAATGTTCCAGTTCGGGATGTTTTGGCTGGACGCGATCTGGAGTTTATGAATTATGTTTTATGTTATGTTATGTTATGTTATATTATGTTTTCTTTAAGAATATTAACCTTAGATTGTAAGTTTGATTAACCTTGTGTTTAGTTTGTATTTTGTGTGTGTTTTTGTATTTTTTGTATATTTGTTTCTGTAATAATTGCATAATTACAGTGGATATAACGTTGATTGGATTAAGTACATGTTCTAAAAATAGTTATTTTTTTTTTAATTTTAAAGCCTGCATGGTCCAACCCACGCCTACGCGTGCTAAAACGTCAACGCTCTGCCGCCTTCCGAAAGTATTGTAACTCTCGCTCGCCGTACTACAAACGACTGTTCAATTTTGCTAGTCGTAGTTATAGAAATTACAATCGTTTTCTCTATAATCGACACGTGAGACGCACGGAAGCGAACCTTCGCACGAATCCGAAAAGTTTTTGGTCCTTTTGTCAACTCCAAACGGAAGGAATCTGGGTTGCCTTGTTCCATGTTTCTCGGGAATGACTCGGCTAATAGCGAAAGAGAAAAATGCGACTTGTTTGCTCGTCATTTCAAGCAAGTGTTCCACGATTTCTCCGCTTCGCCAACACAAGTGCTGGACGCTACTGTCAGGATGCCACGTGATGTGTTTAGTTTCGTTATTCCGCGCATTTCAGAAGACATGGTGATAGCCCCAACACGCAAATTGAAGCTCTCGTTCGCCGCCGGACCTGACGGCATTCCGTCATCAGTTCTAAAACGTTGTGTAACCAATCTCTGCCTTCCACTTGCGAGGCTTTTCAATCTCTCGGCCAGTGTTCGGAAAATCATTCTCAAATCTCATTCGTTGAGCCTCCCTGCGAGAATAAACTCGCGTGCGAATGCGGCAAACAAAATTCACGTTTGAGATTCTCATGCATATTCACGCACTCACACTCACAACGTCGGAAAATCATTCCAGCTTTAAACTCATAAAAACCACTCAAACGTCAATTGATATCATGCCTATGCATGTTGTGTTAGTTTTCCAACCCCTGATGCACAAACAATAGTAATAACAATGAATAACGCCAAAATATAAAGCAATGAATTTTTGAACCTGAAAACTCATCAGTGATTTTTGCGACGTTGAATTTTGCAAGGCAAAACTCATAGGCGCATAAACTCATGCATGAGATTTTAGTTTTTGAGTTTTTCCGAACACTGCTGTGACTGCTCACAGCAATGTGAGTTCACCTGCCGCTGGAAACTTTCTCATCTGTTCCCAGTGTACAAAAAAGAAGAAAAACGGAGTGTCATAAATTATCGTGGAATCACCTCCCTGTGTGCCTGCTCAAAAATGTTCGAGATTATCATAAATGGTGCTCTGTTCGCACGCTGCAAAAATTACAGAACAACACACAGCGCTCCGTGTCCAACGAACCTGGTGCAGTTCACTTCTAACTGTCTGCGATGCATGGATTCAGGATGGGAAGCTGCGTATATGGATCTAAAAGCTGCATTTGACACGGTGGACCATAATATCTTGCTGGCCAAGTGCTGTGGATTGGTTCAGATCTTATTTGGTGAATCGCTATGTACATTTCAAGATTGGCGCGTCGGAATCGGATGTTTTCTCAAACAACTCGGGAGTTCCGCAAGACAGTAACCTAGGACCGCTGCTATTTTCGATCTTTTTAAACGACGTCGCCTTGCTGATACCATCAGGATGCCGCGTTTTCTATGCAGACGATACGAAAATCTACAAAATTATTAAAAGCCTCTCGGACTGCTGGGATCTCCAGAATATTTTAGGTATTTTTGCTGACTGGTGCTCAAGAAATTTGATGAGTCTAAGCATAGAAAAATGTAACATTATTTCCTATCACCGAAAAATTAAACCAATCATGTTTGTATATGTTCTCTACGGACGCTGTCTCGGCGTTATCTTGGACTGCAGAATCACTTTCAGAATCCACTACAATGACATCATCTCCAGAGCTAATCGACAATTGGGCTTTATTTTCAAAATTGCCGACGAGTTTCGTGACCCGCTATGCCTCAGGTCACTTTACTGCTCGCTTGTGTGATCCTTATTGGAGTCAAGTTCAGTTGTTTGGTGCCCTTTCCATGCTAGCTGGATCACTGGAATTGAATCCGTTCAACGCAAGTTTGTGATTTATGCTCTTCGTTTCCTCAACTGGCGTGACCCAACCAACTTGCCACCGTACGGGGAGCGTTGCCGTCTCCTGGGAATCGAGCCATTAAAGCTGAGACGGGCGGTCGCTCAAGCTATGTTCGCTGGAAAGCTGCTTACGGGTGACATTGACTGTCCAACACTGCTGTCACAGCTAAATATGTATGCCCCTGAGAGATCTCTTCGTCAACGCGACTTTCTGTTTTTGGAACCACGGAGTCGGAATTATACACAACACGAGCTAATTCGAACAATCAGCCGGCAATTCATCAACTTTTTTTATATGTTCGACGTCAATGTATCAGCTGACGTGTTTCGTCATCGGCTACTTGGCCTTTTCCGTACCATTGACCGTAACTATTTAGTTTAAGTTTTATTCATTTAGACAATAATTGTCAGTTGAATTTTTCAATAAACAATAAACAACAATATTCCAATTGTCATCCACTAACCTCGAGAAGATCGCGAGTAACCGGTTGAAGTCCATTAATTTTAGATTTAAGACATTAATAATGTATAACGCAAATGATAACTTGGCTCTGTATAGTTTATCCGATTGAGCCTGTAAGAAAGTAAATTAACAAAAAAATATCGCCAAACCATTTATTGATAAAAGATGCACAATTCCATAAAACTTATTAGAGGTAACTATGATAAAGTGCTTTCAATCAGATATATATGCTAATCTATCTATCTATCTATACAGGGGTTTTTGGGGCCGTGGAAGGTTCTTATGATGGTTCGAGACCCCTCCCCCTTCTGTAAGGGGGGGCTCCCATACAAATGAAACAGAAATTTCTGCATAACTCGAGAACTAATCAAGCAAATGGAACCAAATTAGGCATGTGGGGGCGAGTGTGGGGGTATAAGGAGATAATCATAGGGGGTAGCCCCTTAGATAATAGGGGGGGGGGGCTACGTACAATATAGCATGCTTTTTTTTTAAATCGGCGCATAAACTCAAGCTAATATTGAATCCCGAGCAAGACCGGGCACACTCAGCTAGTATGTATATATAAATGAATTTCTGTCTGTCTGACCCTTATAGACTCGGAAACTACTGAACCGATCGGCGTGAAAATTTGTATGCAGGGATTTTTTGGGAAGGGAAAGGTTCTTATGAAGGTTCGAGACCCCTCCCCTCTCTGTAAAGGGGGGCTCCCATACATATGAAACAGAAATTTCTGCATAACTCGAGAACTAATCAAGCAAATCGAACCAAATTTGGTATGTGGAGGTCATAGGGGGTAGCCCCTTAGATAGAGGGGGGAGGGGGCTACGGAAAATATAGCATGTTTTTTTTAATTGGCGCATAAACTCAAGCTTATATTGAATCCCGAGCAAGGCCGGGCACACTCAGCTAGTTTAATATAAGATTACACAAGATTGTAAGTACCTACCTCAAGAATGTATAGACGACTGTTCCAACCAGGAATTGGTCTTTCTCCAACCAACACCGATGTTCGATAAATATGTCTAGGAGGCCATCAACTAGAGCCACATTCTTTGGGCTAATATCACCACCACTTGCTTGCCTCAAGATGTTCCAAACCAAATTGTCTACGTTTAACACTTGATTTTTGATTAGTTCTTTAAGAAACCACAATAGTTGCTTCCGCGGTATGTCATTCAACCTTTGATACTTTTCGGCGACTAGCATAGCCAAGTTGTTAGTGACAAATGCAAGCCCATCGTGAGTCAACAGTGTTAGATCGGAATAGGCTTTTCCTGCGGCATTGGGATCAGTTAGTATAACGTACATCAGCGCAATCGATATTTCTTCATGTTCTTTATCCTTGCATAAGGTACTAGATACCAATTCATGTAGCTCTTTTTCGTTAATTCCAGTAATTGTTTCTTCGTAAGTGCGAAAAGCTTTCTCGTATTTCTGTAACAAACCACATTCTTATTACGAGCATAAGTAAACAAACATTGAAAACATACCTCTTCAAAATCATCCCGAACATCCACAATAGTTTGTATGAAAAGTTTTGATTTTAGAATATCCATTTCTGTACTTATTAACTTTTAATGAAACAACTTTTCGAAATAATCATGATTTTCAATAATAATGCTGCATATGCAAATTACACTGAACGTCCACGAACAGAATAATTCAGTGCCAACATTTCAAAGGGGCGTAATTGCTTTTGTAAACAATGGCTTTAGACGTAGATTTCTCGCAAATGAAAACCCACCCCTTCAAATTACAAATGCTAGCTAATACAGGAAACATTCCTCTGCGTGCTGGTGTCATTCATTTTCATGAGTGTGCTTTCATTCGCGAGAAATCGACGACTAAAGCCATTGTTTACAAAAGCAGTTACGCCCCTTTGAAATGTTGGCACTGAATTTATTTTTTTGTTTGACGTTGGCTTTGTTGACAGGCTGAGGCTAAAGCACACGCTATTTCAAAACTACCCAAATTTTAGGTACAATCCACCCAGAGCGGTCAAAACTGAACCTACCCAAAAATGGGTAAACTGTGTTGGGAGTGACAAGTTGACAGATGAACAACGTCGATCGGAGCCATGGTGGGTACACAGAAAAACAAAACTACCCACCGCTTGGGTTTTTTAAACTCAAATTTGAGTTATTTGACCTCTGCCCGTTTCATTTCCTCTCGCTATTGTTGTCAAAAATAGAACGAAAGATTCGACTCAACCGTCTAGTTCCGTACGAGAAGCCAAAATTGAGTAATATGCGATATACCCAAATTTGAGTTAATTGAACTTAATTTTGGGTAGAAAAAATTGAAAATAACTTAGCGATGGGTAATTTTTTTTGCCGTCCTTAAATGCAAACTACTTTGAGCCGGTTTACCCAAATTTGGCTTATCGTACGGAACATGGGAGATGAGTGAAAAGAACTTAATTTTGGGTTGTTTTGAATTTCTGTGTATATAAATGGTGATACAGCTTTGTCACTATTAAGATTTTGACGTCCGGTTGTATTGGTGCAATATGTGAGAGCGTGCTAGTGAATATCCGAGGAAAATACATAACAAATCGATGTCAAACTCATTTTGACAGGTCTACTTTCATACATTTTTTAGGTTATCCAGAGGAAAATAATAAACAACTTTACACGGCGTTGCTTCCGCTAGTGTGCGTGCGTTAAACGTCACTAATCTCTATATAGGCGAGGAGGTCGCGGGGGGGAAAAGTGTGGTTTTAGAGCAAATTGTAAACAAACTCGGTCACTGTCCCATACAAAAATCCAACATGGCTGAATCATGAATTTGACACATTAGAACACCTACACTGTACACAAACATCATCCTCTGATCGAATGAAACCTCAGACCATTCAAAACAAAACACCGAAATCGCTTTTTCGAATGATAGTTGCAACCGGATGACGGTTGTTTTGAAATCAGATGATTTTCCTCTCGAATACTGAATGAAACTTGTTATGAGAAGGGATAGGGCCTTCAGTTGAAATGCGTAATGCTCTCTGCAGAATGACTGTCATACTAAATGGAAATGCATATGGTATTGGCACAGACAAACAGACATAACACTCGCATGTTGTTCATCGAACAAGCATTTAACGGTCGATTTAAAAGTATCGTAGTTGGTAGTACCGCCCACTGTGTATTCAACAGATGGCGGTAATGTTTTAGCGACGATGTTTTAAAGTGATAAATATTCAATGTGTTATGTCTGTTTGTCTGTGGTATTGGTTCAGCCCATAACGCAAATCATTCAAAACGACGATGTAAATAATTCTATCGAACCTTATTTGCTGATCTGAGCTGACAAACGAGGTGGAAGCATATACACAGAAACAAAATCCATTGGCAAAATTACTATATTGATGGTTTAAATTAAATACTCCCACCAATAGATTTGTGCAGAAACGAAATTCATTTAATTTTACTATTTTTTTCTATCAAAACTACTATGCCGTTTGAGTAAGCATAGTAGTTTTGACAGAATGGTATTAACTTTGTTTATATTTATAGTCAACTATACTGAAATCATGGTAGATTTAACGGCATTAAGCGTAGTTGTACTGAAAATAAGTGTTTTCTGCAAAATAGTATTTCTAACTATGGTCTTTGTTTCAGTGTACATCGCTATCAGACTTGCTATCACAGCAAAAAAAGTTGTTGAATATTACATCGAAACTGCTGCAACCAGGTCAATCAATCGGTTGTGTAATATCACATTGTACGATGTACATCGATTTTGCGAACAAAATTACATCCATTGATGTAATATTGTATCTGCTTTTTGCTATTACATCATTATTTCATACATCAGCTTGAATTACGTTGATTGATATTACATTTTTTTTTTGCTGTGACGAACAAAGGTAAAGCATGAAAACCAATGTTTGGCTAATTCGTGGTGGAGGAGGTTTTCTCCACCACGAAATTTTTTTGTATCCATGATGGAATGGCTTATAATTGCTTTCAGTATGGAATTGTACACGCAGAAAAAATCATAGGTGAATCAAATAAAGTTCGTTTCACTTCAAACAAAATTTTGAATAGAATATGGATCAATAAAATTGACAGAGTAATTCAACAAAAACATTGAGTTGAAATAATTAAACTAACTTTATTGAATTGATCATCGGTTATTATTGATTCAAACAAAATGTTAGCTTGGATCAAATTGAAGCATTTTTTGAAACAATGTACGTTTTTTGTTGTCTTGAGACATCATTTTAATTATTTAAGGATCGTTTTTAATTACAATGCCCAGGTTGTCTTTATTGAAAAAAAAATATTGCAAATAACATGTAAAGTAGTAAGAAGTATTAGAAGTCTTTGTTCGATTGAGACAATTGAGCAGTCACTGTTTGTCACGTTCGCTTAATTAAGTTGCATACTCGTCATATTCGCCAGAGCCAGAGCCATTCTGGTGTTGATTATAATGTTGTTGGTGTTAATGTTGACTATTTGTGTTGCTGGAAGCGAGTGCATCTGCTGTAAGTGCAGCTATGGTGGCTGATGATGACGATGATGGTTCAACAAGAGATGGTTATTTTAAATCTTCTGAGCCAGGCGTTGGAAATTGGATGATTTTGCTCCTGGAAGTTTGGTGGAGCCATATTTTGGAGGAATAGTGGGGTGAGGGGCAATTCCCAACAAACAATTAATCATGTTTTGTTGGTTTTGACATCATCCACATCCAGAGGGCCAGTCACTTCGAATGTATGGGAATGGTAGGAAACCATTTGGAAATGCAAGGAAATTTTCAGTTTTTATTCATTATCGTCTTTATGGGCAATTTTAGATGCACAAAAATTGCACGAGTACATTACTATGGTGATAAGGTAAACACTCGTTTATTTGTTTCCTTTTGTAAAAGCATGTTTAGTCACAAATCGTGGATTTTCTGATATTCTCCATACTGCAAAAATGATTTTCCTACCACTGAAGAGGCGACATCTCTCGGATCTTCAGTATAGCTACTACTCAAATCATATAATTAATTGAGAGCTCTTATAAAACACCTGAGTTGATCAAACGTTGAATAATAGCTTCCAGAGTTGAACAAGAATGTAGTTGTATTGCATTTTTGGTTAGAAGCTTCAAAATCTGCTTGGAGCACTCTTAAATGATTGTTTACGTTCGGTTTAACTATATGCTTTATAAGACCTACGATAACTTTTATAGCACCTTAGTTACACTGATTCACAAGAGTTATACAGAACGTGGAATAAACGCATCAAAACAAACAATTGGGAGCTCTTATAAAACACCTGAGTTGATCAAACGTTGAATAATAGCTTCCAGAGTTGAACAAGAATGTAGTTGTATTGCCATTTGGTTAAAACCTTCAAAAACTGCTTGGAGCACTCTTAAATGATTGTTTACGTTCGGTTAAACTGTTTGACAGGAGCCATATAGGATGTGGAATAAACGCATCAAAACAAACCATTGGGAGCTCTTATACAACACCTGAGTTGATCAAACGTTGAATAATAGCTTCCAGAGTTGTACAAGAATGTAGTTGTATTGCCATTTGGTTAAAAGCTTCAAAAACTGCTTGGAGCACTCTTAAATGATTGTTTACGTTCGGTTAAACTGTTTGACAGGAGCCATATAGGATGTGGAATAAACGCATCAAAACAAACAATTGGGAGCTCTTTTACAACACCTGAGTTGATCAAACGTTGAATAATAGCTTCCAGAGTTGAACAAGAATGTAGTTGTATTGCATTTTTGGTTAGAAGCTTCAAAAGCAGCTTGGAGCACTCTTAAATGATTGTTTACGTTCGGTTTAACTATATGCTTTATAAGACCTACGATAACTTTTATAGCACCTTTGTTAAACTGATTGACAAGAGCTATATGGAACGAGAAATAAACGCATCAAAACAAACCATTGGGAGCTCTTATACAACACCTGAGTTGATCAAACGTTGAATAATAGCTTACAGAGTTGAACAAGAATGTAGTTGTATTGCATTTTTGGTTAGAAGCTTCAAAAGCTGCTTGGAGCACTCTTAAATGATTGTTTACGCGAGGGGCACGCAATAGCCTTTTTGACTGCGTTGGATTTAAAGTACAAGGTGTTCTACTATGTAATTAAGTAATAAAAAATGAAAATTAAGTATTTCATGTAATTAAATTTAATTTTGCGTAATCAAAGCAGTGCCAATGTAATTACTGTAATTAAAACACGTACTTCAATTTGATTATGTAATTAATGTAATTAAAAAATAATTTTCTGTAATGAATGTAATTAAAGTTACACAAATGTAATTAAAAACGTACCCAAATCCATATTCTAGAACTATTTAAAAAAAAATTGTTAAATTAATGTTTTACTAGACTACAAACATGACCAATTCTGTGAATACTTATACTAAATTTCTTGAAGCATCATGCTAGAGTTGGAAACTGAAATAATCCACTCGCGACAATCGATTTCACTTTCGTTTTGTACGTTCAACTAAAGAGCCTGAATTTATAAAGAGACATGTCAAAATTGGAACAATCGATTGTCCGTCAAAGTCATAGGAAAAGTCATTCCAATCGATCAGAAGACCTGTCAAATTGATAAGATGTCGCCTTTAAGATTTAGGACTAATTGAATGGGACAGTGGACTGTCTAAGACCATTATTAGTCGTGCAGAA